TAAAAAGGTGATTGGGAAGATAAAAAGGTGATTGGGATTTGTGAAAACAACTTTTGCAAACCATGTTATTTGGCTTGTCCAAACAAACTCATGTTTGTCTTAGTGGATCAATTAACTGTACCCCACCTAATCTCTTAAATTTAAGCATAGATATTTTAATTAGCACATAATTGTAAGGGTTAATTACAAACACTCCCCATAAGGTTGCACTAGTTTGCACTTTACCCCCTAATGTTATTTTTTTCTCACTTTACTCCCTAAACCGTTAGTTAACTCTAACATTGTCTAATGGAAAGGGTTAATCACATTTTATCCCCTTAAAGAATATCCCATTTCTCAATTTACCCCCTAACCTTTAATTTTGCTCACTTAACCTCCTTTAGGACAAAATTGCCCTTGCATTATTTTGACTTTTCGTTTACCTTGTTTTCCTTTCTTTTATTTCTTTTTCTCTTTCTTCTCTATTTAATTCTGCCTCTTTCCCACAAAAATCTTCACCTTAATGATTGAAATTAAAAAAGAGAAATTGCAGAGATCTATTTTCTCCTTAAATGATTAAAAAAATATTCAAATCACTTTCCTAAAATACAATTTTTTTGCCTTTCAATTCTTTTAATTTTGGATTTTTCTCTTTCCTTTCTAGTTTCTCATTTTATTTCCAAGAAAATATTTTAAGATGAAATTGTGACCTGATTAATAATCATCAATTGAAATTTGTGACACGTGGCATCATACAAAAAATCAAAATTAATTTTTGATGCCTTTTAATCCTTCACCCAGAAATATGCAATTAAAAACTCAAAACAAAACTTTTGTTTGAAATGAAATTTCTATTGGGAAAGATGAAAGAGAGAAGAAAGAGAAAAAAATAAAAGAAAGGAAAACAATTTCATCTTATGATATTTTCTTGAGAATAAAATGAGAAACTAGAAAGGAAAGAGGAAAAACCAAAATTAAAAGAATTGAAAGGCTAAAAAAATTTCATTTTAGGAAAGTGATTTGAATATTTTTTTTATCATTTAAAGAGAAGAAAGATCTCTGCAATTCCTCTTTTTTAATTTCAATCATTAAGGTGAAGATTTTTGTGGGAAAGAGGAAGAATTAAATAAAGAAGAAAGAGAAAAAGAAATAAAAGAAAGGAAAACAAGGTAAATGAAAAGTCAAAATAATACAAGGGCAATTTTGTCCTAAAGGGGGTTAAGTGAGCAAAATTAAAGGTTAACAGGTAAACTGAGAAATGAGGCATTTTTTAAAGGGATAAAATGTGATTAACCCTAATGGAAATATCAAATAGATATTGATACCTCTAAGGGTTAGTTACAATAAATCCCCTTAAGGTATGGCAATTTTGCATTTTACTCTCTAACATCATTTTCTCTTAATTTGTCTATTTGTTTCTAAAACCATTAGTCAACTCTAATATTTTGTATCACTCAAAACAAATAATGTTTAAAAAATTAATATCCCAAACATAATAATGAAAAATATTATATATTTATAGATATATGTCTTGTTAAATTATTTCCATAATTATTGATTTTTAGATAAAACAAACCATGGCCACCACCAAAGACTTTAAGTCCTGGTGGAGTGGGAGATCAATGGTTCAAACCTTACCTCCCATTACTTGCCACAATACATGGTTTCCTCAAATCCATACGAGTATATAGTGCACCCGTTTGGTCCGATGGTGGTTCAATTCTCGTCGATTCCCTTATAGGGCCAGTTGACCCCCTCAGGTTAGACTAGATAGGAGTAGGAATAGAATAGATAAGTGATAAATGACAAAAAAAAAGACAAAAGAAAATATCTCTCACATGATAAGGGAAAAAATTTTAGTGCAAAACTAAACTATAAGAATATTATTAAAGGTCTATAGAAGGGTATGTTTGGATTGAAGATTATTTTAAATTTTTTTTTAGAATAATAGCACTATTTGCAATTTGATATATGTGAGATAAAAAGGTGATTGAAAATAAAAAAAATGATTGAAAAATATGCTTAGATGTAATTTAAAAAAATTTTAAGAAAAATTTATCAATCTAAATAAATTTTAATAGCATCTAAGCATGGAATACTAAAGGAACAGCCCTAGAAATTATGAACTCTAAATCAACCATGTTTCTGTTTTTTTAGTATTACCAAGAAAAAAAAAGTATACTTCCTGCAAAGAAAACACCTAATTACCAAAAGAAAAGTTTAACTATATGTATATTTCCAAAGAGAAACTGAAAATATCCTGATCATTTTAGACTTTAAAATATTTTCAGATTTTAATTTTTTAGTAACAATTTTTGTTTACTTTTTCCCATTATTAAGTTAAATTAGCAAGATATTCTTCTCAATCTAAAAAAAAGTGCAATTATGGAATCAAATTTAATGAGGACCATATATATAAAAATATTATTTTATTATTATGTTTGAAATATTGATTTTTTAGATATTATTTATGCTGGGTGTTATCAAATATTAGAGTTCACAAATGATTTTAATAACAAACAAATTGATAAAAAATGATATTAGGGAATAAAATGCAAAACAAACTATATTTTAAAGGGATTTACCATAGTTAACTTTTAGGGTATAAATGCCTTTTTGATACCACTATTATACAATATTAGAGTTGACTAATGGTTTAGAGGATAAAGCGAGAAAAAAATAACATTAGAGGACAAAGTGCAAAAGTGGTTATACTTAGGGGGAGGTATTGTGATTAGGTATTTTTCAAATTATAGTTATCCACACCACCTAATCACCTAAATTTAACGCATAGTCGTGTGTCTCTCAGTGGATCAAGAATTTTTCTACAATCACAATTGGTAGTGTAGATACTATCACAACAAATGTAGATATTAGAACAATAAATGTAATCACAAACACATCATTTTAAAACATCACAAAATTTTGAACTCATTGGAATTTTGTGCCAAAAATTTATATAGTATTTTTACATTTATTGTGGTAGTGTCTACAGTAGCACAACACTAGTGGCATTAGACATTACCAATTACACATTAGATTTATAACTAAATCATATATTTTATATAAAAATAGTGTAGATCATTAATTAAGTACAAAAGCAAAAACCAAGAAACTAGGGGAATACTTTCACCATGTTCCCTATTCTTTAATAGGTGCATTTTACCATCCTAAACATGGAAAAGTACTACAGTCTGCCCCTTCCTCATTAAATAGCACTAACTCTTTAATTTGGGAGTAATCAAATGTGACTACCCCATACTTAAAGGGGGTCAAAATGTGATTACCATGTTCTAAAATTCCTTGGGTAACAGTTCATTGACCAAAACCCATAAACCAAAATAATAAATTGAAAACGAAAATTTTCCTAAGCAGGAAAAAAAAAAAAATGGAAACGAAAGAGAAGACTTGGAAACGGCCCCTCTTTCTGAGTGGGTGTTAATGGCGACGGAGCTCTCGTTATAATTAGATCGCCTCTTCTTTCCCATTTCCGTCCCCGATTTCAATAAATTTATTTAAAATTCCTCTCTCTCGGGTATCCGCTTTCTTCTCTCATCTCATGGATTTTAGACTGTCGCATGTATTGAATTGTTTTCTATATCATGATCGGTGAATTAAAATTGTACTGATTATTGATTGGAACAAGGGTTTTTGTCAATGTACTTTTTTCTCCTTATTTTTTTTTTTAATTTGGATCTGTTATTATTATTAGGGACAGTTTTTTGAAGATTGGTAAGAACGTTGGGTTTCTTTTTTTAACTTCTTACATACATTTTCATGGAATATACCTTCTGTTTGATTGAAATACTTTTGGTTTGTAGTTTTTGATTGTTCACTTTTTATTTTCTCATTCTGGGGTAATTTTTAGCTTGTCCTGGTAGAAAATGCAAGCTGGATTGCGTTTAAAAATTATGTGCTTAGTGAACTTAATCAAATTTTGATTTAATCCGTCTAATTGTAGTAGGATGTTTCTTTGCGATAATGTGGTCATGTGGTACATGTTACACATAAATACAGTCCTAGGTTATGTTCAAGCATGTAATGCGCGTATATAACAGATCATCAAGAAGAACTTGAAATATTTGCACGGCCATTTCAGCTGTTGGTGATAGGAGAAAGTATAAATGTTAAAGATATGACAGATTTGTGCACTAACTGGAATGAGTTTGATGATATTTAGTCAAAGCTGAGTGAAGATTCTTGTGCAATGTTTAGTAATTTTAATGTAATGATGAAGGTTTGTTATTTACGAACAAGGTATATGTGCTTTTTGAAGCTTGTTACTCATGTTATGATCTGATTTGTAGGTGAAATGCCTATTACGTATGGTAGATTTTTAGAGGCATTGTGATGATTGATACAGCTTTAATAGCAGAGAAGTTAAAAGAGTTTGGGTATCAACAGAGATATTTAGAGAGGAAGATAGGTTGGCTGATGTCTTTTGACAGAGACATAAGGCAATGGAAATGTGGAAAAGCAGGTGTGGTGAATCTACAAAAAGTGAGTTCTATTGTGCGCGACATCGGGGAACCTTGTCTTCATCAATCATCCATAAAGGTTGTTATAACTGTAAGATTCTTAAATCTTTCTTACTTTTCCTTCTCTCTCTTTTGTCTTCTTGTGTTGTTTTGTTTTGTTCTTTTTTTTGGTTGTTTCTTTTTAAGCCAAAAGCACCTATATCCTCCCTCCATTTTCATTGGCCTGTTTGAATATGTACATTGGGAGAAGTGTGTTATTGTCAGCATATTTGCCCTTAGGCTAATTTCTTGGAGTCAATATTATAGTTGGCTGATTTATTTCCTTGTGTTGACGACATGTTAACAAGCTGTTAGACTGAAATTTCTTTTGTATCTCATGACTAAAACTTCAGTTGAATAAAAGAAAGATGACTGTTGTGAACTGAGTCATCTGCTGTTCCATTTTCGTCAATGGAATCTGGTCTGTATAGGGACTCATATGGTGGTAGATTAGATAAGACTCCAGGAAACATGCAACTTGTATTGCTAAACTGATATTGGGTATTAGTCTTTCACAATTAACACAGTCAGTTATCAAGATTGTAGTGGAAATTCATGTTGATCCTGACTGGTTGGCTGACTTAGAGGTCTGTCCTGATACTTGGGGATGTCTGAATAGGATAGATTTTCAAAGAAATCAATTGCTTGGTATATTTTTTGACATTACCAAAAGGATGCAGTTCTTGATCTTGCATCTGGGGTTCCTCCAGTGATGCATTTGGGACAAAGTTCACTCTTTTTTTGGATAGGTTGTTTATATGTGTTGATAAGGGGAATGTTGAAAATTCTATTTGTGTTTTACTTAAGCTGGTGGTTTAGCTTTGCTGGTTGACTTTTCATCTCAGAAGAAGGGGGATGCAAGTTCGTATTCAACATTGGACTAAAGAAGATATGCTGGATGTTAGTTTCTAATGAATTTCTGTGATTCACTGAAAAAGAAATGAAAAGTTATTAGAAAGGATATATCTTGGAAAACATTAACGGATTTAACAGGTGGCTTAGATGAAAGTTGCACTGCTACATTTCAAAGTTTCCTATTCAAGAAATTTAAGTGCAATAAAAAGAGAAGGATGATTCCTTGAAGAATTTGAATGAAAGCACAAGTATCTCCCAGAGCCTTATTGTCAGAGATGGTGCGACAAGAAGACAGATTCCAAAAAGCGTATGCTTAGGACTTCTGATGTTTGTATCTGCAGAGTGTAGCTCCCTTTCGGATTAGACTTTCTCGTAATTGTAGCAGCTTGATGTTTACACCAGTTCACCCTTGTTCCACCATCAACTAAGGATTTGTTCCTTGCAGGATTACAAATATCATGTGCTTTGAGGTAGTACAGTCTCTGATAGGGAGGGTTTCTTATTTGTTTGATGATGATAAAACCATTTTCGCTAAGTTAGAGCTTGTATGTTTGTCACCTAGTGTATCTTCTACGGGGAACTTTGCTTGGTGTTCTTGGCTTAGCTTCTCTTGCTGTGCACTTTGCACTGTAGATTCATACTCTGGACAACTTTCTCCATATAGTTTGTTTTTCATAATTATTTGACAAAGTTGGAATTTGCTACTCTCATATTGAAATGGTATAGGAGACAATGGAATATGTAACATTTACTTTTAGCGATTGGTTCTTGTTCTGTTTTTGATAGTAGTTTAGAAGCATAAATTTAATTAATTCCCTCCCTCCCTCCCTCTTTCTTTCTCTGGATACAAAAGATGTAAATGTTTTTTGAGGTTGGAGTTGGAAAAAATCTGATTTGATTTAACAAATGTATGCATTCAATTTTTGTACTGCATGGTAATTCATGCCTTATTTTTTGATAATTTCTCTGACCATTGTCTTAATCTTTTGCAGATAAACAAAATGCTCAAGCCTGATAAGTGGCAGGCAACTTTCGATGGAGATGGAAAAGTTTCTGGTTTTCAGAAAGTTCTGAAATTGATTATTTTGGGGGTAAGACTTGTATCATAATTTTGTCTTCTACATCGGATCTCTTATTGTTGACTTGGCTTAGGTATGTCTTTATGAAATACACTTTCATTTCTGCACCACACTATATGCTTTCACTTGTCTAACTATTACCGTAATACTTTTTTAAATTAAATCAAAAGAAAAGTTGAAAAATAGTAAAACATGCATAATTCTGGTAGGGCCGATCCCTCATTATTTCTCAAACCTGAACTTGTTATTAGTCCCAACTTCTTAGTGCGTTATCATATATTTGATGCGTGCTTTTTTCTGTTGTTTTTTTTTATTACAATCAGACATTCAATTTAGTGGATTTTCTCTGATGGAGAACTCTATCTGCATTCATATTGAGATCAGTTTTCCTTAGTTCTTACAAAAACTAGAATAGCATAGAGTAAACCACATAAGTTTTGTAGTAATTTGTGCCACTCATTCAAAATCTAGATGCGGTTATGGAACTAATGGTGAGCTTTCTCGGATCAATGTAGAAAATGGTGTCATAAAAAATTATAAAATCTTTCAAGAAATTCCTGTAATTTTACCATCAACCATTGACTAGGAACAATGCAGATATTTCTAGCATCGGTATATCTGAGGCTAGGCACTAAACAGCAGTCTAAGACATGTGACGGAGGGTTCTGCAGTCACCAGGATGGCCTTGTTGCATTCCAAGGATTTGCTACAACAAGTGATCCTGTGGAACTGTTTCTGTGTATGTTAACCAAGCTGTTTTCTCCAGTGATGATTGTGTTGAACAGTTTGCTCCCGAAAACAACAGCTTTGAAAATGTATGTGTAGTTACCTCTTGCAGTTTAACAGATATATTAGTCTGTACATTTGGTGGCTTGAATGCCAAAACTTTTTGTGAGACTATCTGGGTGCTGTTCATTTTCAGCATCCAGAATCTAGTTTATAGGAGGTCTTGTTAGGCATAGTTGCTGGGTGGATTTTTATTTCAGATAAAAGATGCAGCCTTTTCTTTAATTACTTTGGAGGAGACAGTGGATGGGGCACATTAGCATTGATAATGCTAATTCTGGAATTAAGAGATAGAGCTTCCTGCTGCATTGCCCAACAAGTTAATTATTTGGGAACTTTGAATCTCTCTACTGGTTCTCCTGGGAGACTGAACTCTTTCTGTTGATTCCCGTCTTATGTAGGCTGGATCGTTTCAGATGACACGAGGTTCGTAAACTTATTACCGATTTGGCTGTTACCCAATGGCATCAGTAATTTAAAAAGATTTTAGTAGGAAATGGCTGGTGACAAATGCCTTTTGATTCTGACCGCTTTTGCTTTGACTTTTGTTTTGCTCCATTCAAGTGAAGTCAAAGAGGTAAATGTTGGAGCTAATTACCACTAACCTGAGAAAAAAGTAAAACGTTGGTGCAGACAATGGAGTATTTGTCAGTTATTTGGTTACGTATCTATGGAAGGAAATAACTAACTGCATAATTAGGGCAACTGGAGTACATGGTTTAAGTTTATTTATACAGATTCGTGGCATGTTTGTGCTGAGAGGCTTGACACAAATGTTATGTCTCAAGCTGCAAAGACACGTACGCTTAGAAGAGTTTCACTTAAGTTCGCCCCTCTCCTGCTCCTCTTTTCACAAAGTTCTAGCAACCCGACTCTCTATCTTTTCTATATTTTTTGCATTAGCAAAGAGAGTTTAATAAACAGTTGAAGCTGAAGCTTCAAAATGCCTATGCTGTGCCTAGCTGATGCTCATGATAGCAACTAATCCTGTATTTACAGCCTAAACTTTCCTATATCAGTTAGAATTGTGGTTTTCCTCCTTGCTCTTGAGCCATGAACCTATTTCTGTGACTTAGTAAGCTAATTGGCAGCAGAGACTTTCTATCCTGAAAATGGTTTACTCACTGTATTGAATTTTTCTTCTTTATCTTTTTTCTAATCGTCATAGTTCCCAATGATCTACTCTCTTTCTCTCTCTAATGATCTATACTCTTGTTTATGTATGTATGTGGGATTGTCCCTACAATTATTTTATCTCAATGTGCTTGTCTTCTCTCTTTACCAATTGGGATGTCTATTCATATGGTTTATTTCTACCAAGTAGTATGTTCTGCAGATGGTTATATTCTCCCCCTTTTCTTCTCTGGGGTGGGGGTACTCTTTTCCCTTTTTTTTTTTACCAATTAGTTATGAAAATTTACGAGCTATAGTCATTTTGCCTTTTTAACTTATCAGGCAATTTTTGCAATGGAATAGTATGAGATTAGACTCGCCATACTGTGCATTTTGCGTATAGAAGGACTGCATCCATTTTAACAGAAAATTTATTGCGCCCTTCTTTTTTTAATAAATATTTTAAAATTTCTCGTAAAAGTGTATATACCAGATATAAAATCACAAATGAACAAGCATGAATGTCAAATAAATTTCTATGACTCCAACATTAAGGTCCACACTCTTGGGGGCGGCAGCCGGGGGGGGGGCCTATCTCCGGCATCTGCTTCCATGTTTTTGTCACATCTGGAGCACTTGAATTTGTGACTTGATTGTTCGTGTTTTGTCAAACATCAAACAGCTGTTCATTTTTCACTTGCTACACTTCCCATTCACCAATTCTTTTCTTTCGCACTCTTACACAGTCATGTTCTAAATTTTGCTGCTTGAGTGTGCATTTTCACAACTAATTTCTGATTCAAACTGAATGTAATATAGAAAATTGTTCGTTGGAATTGTCTATCAAGTAGTGACAGGGTTGTCTTTTCTATCTTTGGGAGTTCTTTTTTCTGCAGGACTTGGAAATTTCCTCCATTAGTTGTACTAAAAAACTTGATCTTCTACTGTTAAGATCCTTATTTTTGTGCATGACAGGGTGTGGATCCGTCTATAAGGCCTGAAGTATGGGAGTTTCTGTTGGGTTGTTATGCTTTGAGTAGTACGGCTGAATACCGTAGGCAGTTGAGAACTGCCAGGAGGTACTTCACTCTTGTTTTATCACGTCTTGTGTTTTCAGTTCAGCTACTCTGTCTGCATAGCCAGTCTGTTTATTTTACAATACTGAAGGAAGTTGTGGACTTATTTAAGTCCATGAATGTCAAAACATTAACTATTTGAAGTTACACTTTGCTTGCATCTATTAATTGAAAGAGCACAAATATAGTTGGAGAATGTGTCTTAAGCTGAGAAGGATCTGTTTTTGGAGTTTTTTCTGACTCTGAAGAGCTAAGCTTCAAGCAGATATCTACTCAAATGTTGCTGACGGGGATTTAGAGTTGGAACTGAAGTCAGAAAAGTTAAATTTTGTAATCCTTGTTCCTGAGAATAGTGAACTGATACTGAACTGCTTTAGATACAGTTTTGCATGGTTGAAATTTTGAATCAAATTTTCGTCAAGTTATAGTGTTATACATTTGTTGTCCTTTCTGCTTGTACTTTTCCGTTTATGGTGTACCTTAATGTTTATGTTATTGACTTCAGACAACTTCAAGTGGAGCACAAGGACTTGTAACAGTGCTTACTTTTTTTTAAGCAGCTATATTATTGTCTGCCATGTAAATTGGAAATGTTCTTAGTTTTGGACGTGCAGATGCTCCTAAATTTATAAAAGTCAAGGACTTCATTTCTAGTTCAGCAGTTACCTGAATTTGCTAGCTTATGCTCTAAAGTTCCTATCCTTCAAAATTTGTTATTGCTCATGCTTGATGTGATTCAACGGCAAGGTTGACTGTATGAAATGAATAGGAGATTGTTATTTGGGACTAATGCGATTATTTGTAGGATGAAATATTATTTGATATTCAGCACTCAATCATGGCTGCATGTTCTTTTTGCAGTCATTTTGTTCCAAGAGTTTTATATCACTAGACAATGCATTGCATTCTGTGCTGTAAACATCATTTTTTTCTCAAAACTTACTTCTCTTAGATATTCAATTGTGGAAGTGTTCTAAGTTTTTTGATACGACAGTTCTTATCCTCTTTAATCTGTCCTACAGGTCCACCCTTTACTGCAATATATTCTCTTAAACTAGAAGAATGGAAATAGTGCACTTGCCTAGTCATTTCAAGGAGCCTATTTCATGTAAAACTAATTCCATAAATAATAGAGACATCCACTGCTCATGATAGATTTTTGTGATTTTATTTTTTTACATCTTGATACTTGAGAAGAAAAGGAACAGAAGTAGTCTTTTCTTGTGATTAAGGGGTTTATAAACAAATCTTTAAAGAGTCTCTTTAATGGTTTTGAAAACTTCTTTGACTGCCTATAGTATAATTCAAATTATCTCAAAGAAGGCCCATAGCCAACTATTTAAGGTCAGCTGACATGATTTTGTTTCTACACTGTCTTGTTGAAGTCTAATTTTGTCCATGTCTACAAAGTACTAAATCAGCTAAAATCAAAATGGACTTACTAGCCAATAATTTCTTTACAGCTCTCATCTCAGCCATTTTCTTACAAAGGGCAATCCCTTTTGCCACATGTTGCTTGTCTAATCCAATTATCCCAGTAACCATTTTAAGATATGGATTCTTTTGTTATTTGCCTTCTAAATCTTGATTAGAGACTCATTGATGTTTTGTTTTTGGATTTTGTGATTTGTGCGATGCTAAACTGAGTAAATTTATGAAAATGAATTGTAGGGAGCGTTACACAGAACTTATTAAGCAATGTCAAGCGATGCACTCAAGCATAGGAACTGGTTCCCTTGCCTACGTCGTTGGATCCAAGGTCATGGATATGAGAACCAGTTCCAAAGATGAAGGGAAAAGAGAAGCTGAAGTCCAAAGTAGACAAGCCTCTGATGTTGATACTAACAAGCCAGACAGTTACACTAATGGGAATACTAATTGTACAGATACATCACATGCATATAAAAGGGAAAGTTCTAGTGATTCTGGTGACCTTTTAAGTGTAAGAGGGAGCTTAATTGGTGCAGCATATGACTCTTCCTGTTTCCTGCCTGCCTCACCTATTTCTGTTCATTATAAGTGCAGTTCCCCAAATCCTGTGAAAGAAACATTTGGATCAAATTTTCAAGCTGAGAATTATTTTGATTTCCCTCCCTTACCTGTAACAGATTTGTTTGAGAAACGGAAAAAGGATAAGAAAGGATGCAGGTCATTTGATGGAGGACTTTCCACCCGCCGTAGATTGAGATTTGGAGATGAGCACATGCATAGTTTTCGAATTAGTAACAATGCAGATCTAGTTGTTGAATCAAACCATTCTGCACCTGATGATATTTTACGTTGTTCAAGCTCTGAAAGTGATGTTTGTTGGGATGGGCATAATCCTGTTTCATGGTCTGAGAATCTAGTATATGAAACTGAGATGCTTAACAAACTTAAGATATCTGATGCACCAGAAACTTCACCTATAAATGCAGCCACATCTCAAGCGGGGACTGTTAGTGAAGACAGAGTGTCTGAATGGCTTTGGACACTGCATCGGATAGGTAAATGACCAATCTAGGCTGATTGTAGTCTAATAACCCTCTGTACTTTCCAAACTTTTGTGTTTATGGTAGTCTAATAACCCTTTATGGTTTTAGTTGTTGATGTAGTTCGAACAGATAGTCATCTTGAATTTTATGAGGATACAAAAAATTTGGCACGAATGTCTGATATTCTTGCTGTTTATGCATGGGTTGATCCTAGAACTGGATATTGCCAAGGTTTGTGCCACTCTCCCTTTGGCAGCTTTCTTTGCAATTGTGGCAGTCACAGTTCTCATAAGTTTTCATAGTCTACTCAACATTTAATGTTTCAACTCTTGTTGAAATTTTATGGTAGGTATGAGCGATTTGCTGTCTCCTTTTGTTGTCCTCTTCGAGGATAATGCTGATGCTTTTTGGTGCTTCGAGATGCTTCTAAGGAGAATGGTACTTCTAAATAAGCCTTTCAGTTTGCAGTAGTCTTTTTCTGTTTGGTTTGTCCCTGCTTACAAAGAGCTTTTACTCCGTCAGCGTGAAAACTTCCAAATGGAAGGCCCAACAGGTGTCATGAAACAGTTGCAAGGACTGTGGCACATCTTGGAGCTTACAGATAAAGAAATGTTTTCCCACCTATCCCTGATAGGTGCTGAGAGCCTGCATTTTGCTTTCCGGATGCTACTGGTACTTTTCCGGCGGGAGTTGTCTTTCAATGAGGCTCTGTCAATGTGGGAGGTTTGTGTTTAGTCATTCTTTTGGCAGTATATTGATTGGCCATGTTGCACATATCTCTAACTAATTAATTAATTGAGCTTAAAGTTTACGTTATTGTGTCAATTTAATGAACTTTCTGTGCAAGACAAGCAATCAGGTGATTTTCATGTGTATCTCTTTTTATGTTGCTTAGCTTATATTATGGGTCCCTAGCCTGGTGAATTCTTTCCCAGAAATGATATTCTTTTAGCTTGTAATAGCTTTGGCTGTATAGTGACTGCATTCTTTTGCTGTTATATGGAAGAGGAGGAACTTAGACCAATTGTTTACTGGTTTTGTGCTTGGCCAAAGAATCATGATTAAAGTGTAAATGAACTAGTGTTCTCCTGCTTCTTTCTTTCTATCTGGATTTTTTTTTTTAATTTTAACCTTAATACTTGAGTTGTCTGGATCCCCACTTTTTGGATTCTGATGGAGTGAGATCCTTGTGCTTCTTGCCAGCCTATGTTTTACTAGAATACCATTCAACATGAAAATGAAGAAATAGAAAAGCAATTGAAAATTTATCTACTTTTACTGAAAAATATGTAGGTAATGGTAGCAGCAGAACGTATCTTTGAATCACCAATCATTGCAACAAATTTTCTGGATGTCTCAGGCTACAAAAAATATGCTTTTTCCTGAACTTATATGGAAATGTGGCAGAGATTTTGGGACACCTGTAGATTTAGTTTGTAAATGCTGGATCAGTAGGATGATCACCTAAATAGTTTTCTTTTTCTGATTATTTCTTTTCTGCAATTGTTCTGTAATGCCATCTTTCCTTTTATAGTTGGTATTTGCCAACGTTCCCTTCAAAACTAAAGGGAAAAAAAAAAAGAAAAATTTCTATTATTTTATTAATTTTTCCTGAGGAAAAAGATACTCCCGCCATCCCATTGAAAGTGTCAAACCTTCCATTTTGGGATGTCCCAAAAACATTGTCATGTTAGAAAAGTCAAAGCACCTTTTAGTCTCTGTTTCCAATATAGCCATTCTTTCTAATCATATACATATTACCATTCATATTTAAATTTTGAATTTGTAGCGGTAAAATTGAAAAGAGAAGCACAAACATCACAATCAAACCACTATTCTTGAAAAGTTGGAGTCCCCAAACATGACTAAATAAATGGGACGGAGGGAGTAGTACTTAATAGTAGGTTATGTTGTTCCAGGATGAGCATCTTGAGTATAGGACTGAACTGTGATGGATGATTACCTGATAATTGTGTGATGTTTGGCAAATGTGTGATTTCTTTTTAACATTCATTGAATGTTGCGTTATGTGCTGTAATAGCAATAACTGTCTGAGCTTATTGATTGGTGTGAGCAGCCTTTTATGAGAACTGTGTTTGGTAGTATTTCTATTGCTGGAAAAGATTGGTTGCAACAGTAAGCAAAGGATCAGATGATTGAATCCTGGTCTTTTGGTTGCAATGGTAAGCAAAGGATTAGATGATTGAATCCTGGTTTTTCAAACTGGCAACTAAATCTTTTCTAGCAATAGAAATATTACCAAACACAGTTCTCATACCAATCAATAAGTTCAGAAGGTTATTGCTATTACAGCACATAACGCAACATTCAATGAATGTTAAAAACAAATCACACATTTGCAAAACATCACACAATTATCAAGTAATCATCCATCACAGTTCAATCCTATACTCGAGATGCTCATTCTGGAACAATATAACCTACTATTAAGTACTATCTTTTTCTTCAGGAAAAATGAATAAAATAATAGAAAATTTTCTTTTTGTTTCCCTTTAGTTTTGAAGGGAACGTTAGCAAATACCAAACTATAGAAGGAAAGATGGCATTACTGAATAATTGCAGAAAAGAAATAATCAGAAAAAGAAAACTACTTAGATGATAATCAAATTGATCTAGCATTCACATACTAAATCTACAGGTGTCCCAAAATCTCTGTCACACATCCATATCAGTCCAGGAAAAAGTATACTTTTTGTAGCCTAAGATATCCAGAAAATTTGTTGCAACGATTGGTGATTCAAAGATACTTTCTGCTGCCACCATTACCTACATATTTTTCAGTAGAAGTAGATAAATTTTCAATTGCATTTCCTATTTCTTCATTTTCATGTTGAACAGTATTCTGGTAAAACACAGGCTAGCAAGAAGTAGAGGGATCTCACTCCATCAAAATCCATAAAGTGGTGATCCAGACAACTCAAGTATTAAGGTTAAAATTAAAAAAAAATCCACATAGAAAGAAAGAAGCAGGAGAACACTAGTTCATTTGCACTTTAATCATGATTCTTTGGCCAAGCACAAAACCAAACACAGTTTAAATCTTTTCCAGCAATAGAAATACTACCAAACACAGTTCTCATAAAGGCTGTTCACACCAACCAATAAGCTCAGAATGTTATTGCTATTACAGCACATAACACAACATTCAATGAATGTTTAAAACAAATCACACATTTGCAAAGCATCACACAATTATCAGGTAACTATGCTCATTTTTTGGTAGATCAAGTAGACCCATGGAAGTTTGATGTTTTTCTTTTTTTTTTTTTCCAACAAACGTTAACAGCTTTATAGATAGTAAACTTGATATTACAAAAAGGGGACACTGCCCTCATTTCCTTTCTTGCTAATTCTAGCAGCCATATTGGGAAATCACATTCCCATTCTATGTCCTGGACTAGCTGTACTGCAAATTGAGCCTATTCATGGCTGCATCTATTTTCTGCTCTCTGCACAAAAGAAAAGCTACAGCTTTGAAACCATTGCCTTAACTCCTGAATATCTTCCAAAATAGATGCAATGTTGTAGTTATTTACATTGCATGTGTTGATTTGATCCGCCACTGATTGCAGTTTGTGTAGACCTCTATTTTGGTCCACCTTGCATCTTTGGCCATCACAAATGCATTTCTTATAACTAATGCTTCCACTAAGTTTGATGTTTTTCTTGCTTTTAGATTCTTGTTACATTGCTTATCAATTCTGATGATCATTTGAGCTCAATGGCTTGTTTTGATTCCTTTTCTTCTTCTTGGGTCTTATTTCATGCTTCTGGATTCAAGATAAATTAGAGATGTGAATTCTTCAAAATTATAGTCCCTGCAGTGTAAATCTGTTTAGTTCAGTGCTGCAGTAATCTACTTTCTTCTGCATATATCAATTCATTTTTCTGGCGTACACATTGAATATGCTCCTGCATTAAGATCACTTGTGTCCCTTGCAGATGATGTGGGCCGCTGATTTTGATGAATCTTTGTCTTGCCATCTGGATGACAATTGCCCAGAACTATTAGTAATACAGATCCCTAGGGACTCTAGAGCAGAAATGGAACAAGAAAGCATTGACAATAGTCCTAGTTGTTTAAAGGGTGGTGCATCATCCAAAAAGGGACACCTAGAACACTCCGTATCTGACAACACAGGCATAAAGTCAGCATCAGCTCATCCCCTTTGTGGTTTGGCAAAAACATTTTGGTCCAGAAATGACCGCTTGCATGTTGGTACTGCATTATCAACAATGGGAAATGGCGATGATGAATTACCTGTTTTCTGTGTGGCAGCAATTCTTATCATGAACCGTCAGAAAATTATTCGAGAAACACATTCCATAGATGATCTAATAAAGGCAGGTGGATTACATTTATGCTTATGAGTAACTTGAAGGCCTTGCAGATTTCACCATCCTTGCATACTTCTCTATTCCTTCTGCACAAAGCTGTGGAGTGCATTGGATTCCCTTTCAAGAGGAATCCTTGATAGGATTATGTTGTTTTGTTCAAGATGTTCGTTTCTGTCTGGATTTTAAATCCTAATCTTTTCCTTGAATTACCGTTCTTTCTTTGATTGATAGCAGAAGTAGTTGGGTCATGTTTATTTCTGGGGTTTCAGTTTTATGGATGGCCTACATCTTTGAAATGTTCATGGTTCCCAAAATCTAGCTTTTTGATGCTTGCTCCTTTAATTTTTTTTTTTACAAAAAAAAAATTTTCAGCTACCTGTCTAATCTTCCCAACAATGTTCAAACCATTCACTTCATTACTATCAGTGTAATATCACGCTGCTTTGAGTATTTTTATGAAGAGTATTGTATCATTTACCATGTCACACTGCCTAAATCTTTTGAAGTGGAATTGATGGCCTGTGCATACCGCCCCAACATATTTTCTTCTTCTTGAGTTCCTTTCTGACAAATCTGTACTGTATTGGATAATAATAAGTTACTCATCTTCATTGAATTGCAGATATTTAACGACAATTTGTTAAAGATCAGGGTCAAGAGATGCATACGTACGGCTATCAAACTACGAAAGAAGTACTTTTACAAAGTTGGTTCAACTAATCTTCTCCATTCTAATCTTTAGATTACTTTTTGAGCGATGATTCAGTGCTCTGCTAGCTACTAAATGAGTTTATTGCTTTGCATAACATTCTTGTACCAGTGCTGTCATATTTTACAAAGTTGGTTCAGCTAATCTTCTTCACTTGAATCTTTAGCTTACTTCAAGTGATGATTCTGCTAGCTAATAAATCGGTTCGTTGTGCTGCATAACATTCTTGTACTAGTGCTGTCATATTATTTCGATTGTTTCTTCACTTGAGGTAAATGCTGATTATGCCAAAGTATGTGTATGTTGATGTCCTTGTCAAATCAGCTTATTGCTTTGTGATTGATCAAATGGGAACTTGAGGTGATATATCTTTTGTTTGAGTTGAATAAAAATTTGGTGTATTTTGTTGCAAGTATTTAATCATGCCTCTGTCATGTTTTTTGATAAGCTTCTGTACCTTGTGAAACAGCTGATCAAGAGCAGGAGCCCTGCAGCTCAGAGCGTTGACTAGGGTTTTTCCTTCATTATCACATAACTTGATGACAATACAGTAGCACTTTGAATTGATGCTGGTTATACAAGATTCCAGTCCGTGGTTTGGCAATTGCTTTGCAAATAAGTTTTATCTTTAAGGAGTTTAAGCAAATTGCTCGTGATGTTTGGAGATTATTTGTCTGCTCAAACCCTAAAACTATTCCACCACAGTACAAAGGTATTTCTGCTGCTTCATCATTCTTTCTCAAACTTGGGAACAATCTGCTTGCTTCTGATTTTTTTTTCTTTTGGCCCCCTTCTTTAGCTTGTTATCGCATGTTAAAGATTGGCCAATGCAAGTGTAGCTTCTCTTGACGTGGAATTCCTCTGATTACTTTGAATAGAATGGAGTATTTTTTTTCAGTTATTGGGTCCAAAATCCTGTAAGAATTTCTATTTCTGGTGTCAACTGATAAGATTTATATTGGATTTACATCTTTCATGTTATTCGTTTCAAGGAGAGAACTTCTTGGGCTTTATTCAACATTTGTGTTGGTTTTCAAGTTAAATAGAAGGCTTTGCATTTTAAGCGGCTTTGGTTATGAGCCTTACGCTCTTACGCTTCTTGGAGTGTAGAGGTTATGAGTTCTCTTTTAGAGTCTTGACAGATTTCCATCGGTATATCTGATATATTTTTTCCTCAAAAAAGAGAGAGAGAGAGAGAGAGAGAGAGAGAGAGAGAGAGAGGGAGGGAGAAATGTTTAGGTTGTCTATAAGGTAAAAATTTCAATTTGTCTACTTTTAAAAAATTGTGACACTATAGAGTCTCCAAACCCTGGGTTGTATAAAACATTACCTTTGGACTGAGTAGGCTTTATTTATCTTTTAAAGAAGTCCCAAGATTTAAAGAAGGTTGTTGGACCTAGTTGGTTGATAGACTCATGTATACTGATCTAGTGAACTTTGAGAATAGTTGGTAATATGCATATGCAACATGACTGTTTAAGTAGGCTTTCTGACATTGGTAAATAATTGCTTTTGGTTTCTGTTCTGCTTAGGCATCTGGTTGCAAGCATTTCTTTGGGGTGTGTTTGGATCATTGGATTTGAATTCAATTAAGGATTTCAAATGAATGGATTTTAGATTAATTGATTTGAAATACCCACTAGTTCTAGTACATTGTTTGGGTGCTGCATTTGGATTGAAGGACTTTATGAAAGATTTGGAATGCTCTCAAATTCCTTGAAATTGTTTGAATGGCTGAGCAGATATTGAGGTTTGCAATTCACCAATTTTTTAAATTCATTTAAGTACTAAAATAATTGGGGATTACAAATCCAAATACCTCCCAAGTCATCCACACAACTTCGGGGGATTTGAAGGGATTTCCAATCTTTTTGTCAATTTTTTCAATACAAATGCAGCCTAAGATAAAGAGCATTTTGAGTTGATAAAAAAGGTTGGGGTTGAAAATTTTAAAATTAGAAAATTTGGGGATTAATGTAAAATTTTTCATTTTTCCTTTCTTCTCTTGCCTACGTCAAACCTAATAGCCTTCCTGATGCCTCGTCTCCAAAATATACAGCGACGGAACCACAATTTTTGCCATCGTCACTCCTCTCACAGACAAACTCCTACACAGTGTTCTCAGACCACATCAAAAATTGGTCACTAGTGCTTGAGATTTCTTTTTCTGGCACCTCCATGGGCAATGGCGGCAGCGGCTGCCCAAGGTGGCACCCAAATTCCTGCCTCTTGAATTCATACACAAAGATAAAGGTGTTGGAGGAGGTGTTTAAATTAATCTAATTTGGGTGAATTTCAAAAATCTTGATTTTAACTCTTGAAATTCTTCCTTTTTATTAATGAATTTGAAATCCAAATCTCTTTCAAGTCATACAGACAAGCATGAGGATGTGGATGAAGGATTTGAAACCCAAATCCATTTGGAATACTTGGTGTATTTTCTGAAATACATGGTTAAATTAGTATAAGTTGAAAACCAACCTGTGATGTTCTGCCTTGAGAGTTTAATTATTACAAGTTGAAAACCAACCTGTGATGTTCTGCCTTGAGAGTTTTACATCTGATGTACTTTACATGCAATTTGCTGTGGTCTTTGAATGAGAAACTTGGTAAATAGTCATTTTGTAGCCGCAATAATTGAGCATTTTGCCTTATCTGGATCTCCCAGCTTGTTGAACCAACAGATGGAAACGTGATACTAACAGACCATTAGTTATCACCGGGGCTGGAGTACAACATACAATCACATAAATTTAATTGCCATTTTCACATTCTACCTTGCTGATGAAGGATGAAGATGCAACTGGCACATCTTTCTTTTCTTTTGTGGATTGTGTAGTTTCTGAATTTGACAAAAAATTCTTAATTGATTGTAATTAGGTAGTAGAAAACGGAAGATGACAAAAGACAGAATTGTAACACCTGATAAATCATTTAATTTCCAGGAGAACAAAAGAATTCAACAAACTGCATACATGATATTTAATGCTTTCATCTAATAAATATCTTCTCATTCTATACTTTCATCTATTAAATATCATCTTTGGGTCTGTCTAACAATCTCCATTTTTCCTGTCTGGAGTAGTTTGCTACACTTGCAAAAACAATTGCAGTGTATTGTATTAAGAAAATTTAAGGAATTGTATACAAATTTGTAATATGCTCCAATTTCATCTCAATTTTTTCGAAATTTGTAAATGAGACTGCTTTTGAGCAACTATGTAAATCATGAAGATAGAACAAAGTTAAAAAAGTAAAAATAAAAACTATTTGAATCATTTCTTGGCATTTGATGGCATAAGAACTTTTGCATTCTCTAGTCATTATTGTTTTTAATGGTCTGCGGGTAAGCTATAGTGATTACTTATGAAGCTTCTAATTCTCTGAATCTTTCTGTTCAGGACACTAAAGTGGAAATCTTCCTTCGCTTTGTTTGGGGCTGTCCACGAGTACTTCTTGCAGGTTAGGAGTAACCAAAGTCTTTTTTCTTTTACACATGTTTATAGACTTTGGATTGACATCTCAGGATACAGCTTACCGACCGAACTTATAGACTTTATATGCGATTATTTATTAGAACATATCATCTTAGAAATTCTTGATAGCGATATTTTTTGGATATCATTGTACTTTTAATTTTTTTATTGCTTGGATGTTCTTCTTCATCTTGTTTAATGCACTTGTACAAAAATGACAAATAGTACCTATGAACTTATAATGGATCTGCCTACATGATGCTGGGATTATTTCCATTTGTGAAACGGCAATTTCAACATATATCCCTCTTCTTCCCGGTCAAAATTTATGGCCTCCTATCCTGTTTATTTGATTAAGCCAATTCTCTGGAGAACTGTTCAATCATTTAGCAATAGTTACCCCACAATACCTGCTGATCAACTCCAAGAACAGATTGATATGATCCGATCATTTTGTAGTAGCTGTTTGTAAAGTGTAAACCTCTACCGCTAGCCATTGCAGGGTTTAAATAGACAAGGGGATCTCCATTGCCATTTGGTGTATTGGGAGGGCATTGCTGTCTCAGACCTTTCAGTAAGGATTTATCCGTGCTGAGAAGTGGTTTACCTATGTTCGTAAAATTGTAAAGGTGATTGCTTATGAATTAGCAGTGCGTTCTTCCATCATACGTGCTCCTCCAGTGTCAGTGCAAAGAGAATAAAATCAATCTAATTACACTTGTTGTAAAAGAAGATGCACGGTGATCCTTTCATAATGAATTCGGTACAAGAATCAGATCTGCAGGACCAACATTTTAATCTGAATTTTTTCAGACATTCAGATGTTTTGAGTGTTTGATAAAAGAAAAATTCATTTGTTGAACTTGTGTGTATTTTTTTTAGCACAAGAATCCTAACTGAATGATTAATTCTGATAAGAATAAATAGAAATACTTCAACTACCTTATCTTATCTATTAAATCTGTCATTGTTTATTAATTATATTCAAAATTCTTATATAATTAAATAACCTAATATTTTCTATATAATGATTTTTTATTTCTCTTTTCTTCCTTTTGAATGATTTTCACTTATTCTCCATACTCCTCATATAATATAATTCATCTTGTATATTAATTTGATTTAAAAATAAATGTTGTCATTTTCATACCGAACATTTTTAGCTAATTAAATCATAGGTTCTATTTCTTTTTTGGATGAAAAGATATAAGGGTAAAATTGTGAAATTTAATTTATTAAGCATTCAGTTATGAATGTTTATCAAACAGTAAAAATAGATTTATTATTAAAATTCAGACATTCATAAAATTTTTTTCAGTACTTAAAATTTAGCAAATTAATTGTTTCAGTATTCAGATTTCAGAATTTAGATTCAGTTTTATTAAACGGATCTTTAGTCTTATTCATCCAAACCCTAAGAGTGGCATACCTCACTAATAGGGGTGGCCACAATTCAAGTTTGAGCAAGAACCGGACCAGAATTAATCTGGTGGTTTATTGAATCGGAATCGAATATTAAAATTGGAATAGAAATCATAACTGTAATTAAGGTTTAGGTTTGATAAAAATTTGAACCGGAACTAGTGGTTTACAACCCGTTCAAATGGTCTAAAAAACATTTGCTACTTGAACATATTTGATCAATTAAGAATTCAATATCAATAGTTAGTATCTAGTACTAACAATTCCAATCCTAACCTAACAACTCACTGTTCCATTCTATTAACAAGTCTATATCCCATAATTAATTTAAATTCAAGATAAATCTAACCTAATCAACAATGAGATATTTTTTCATAAAATTTGCATCATTTTTTCTTTTTCCTTACTCATGATAATACAATAAAGTTCCTTTTAGTTTTTATATTCATTGTCATTTTTTTTAGAATCTATTTTATAATAATAAGTTTTTAAACATAATTAAAGTTCTTTTTAGTTTTTATATTCATTGTCATTTTTTTTAGAATCTATTTTATAATAATAAATTTTTAAACATAATTAAAAGAACTGAAACTGTAACCAGAATTGGAGGTTCAAGAACACTAACTATAATCGTGCATATAAGGTCAATTTGGGTTTCACTTTTCAAAAGAATTGGAACCGATGATTCTGAAATCATGGTCATGTCTACTCGCCAGTGTCCCGGAGGTTGAAAATGAAGGGTAGTCTGTCTGGACAGTTCTAGTCCATCTCTTCTCCTATAGAACATGAGACATAGAGCTGGCAATTATACTCAAAATCCAACCACCACCCAACCCACTCACTAATTTGAGAGGTTAGGTTGGGTAAGTTGGGTATTAGGTAAATTTTGGGTTGGGTAATAAAAATCCATATATATTTTGGGTGGTTTGGGTATTTGTGTTGGGCACCCATTACCCAACTTAAGTTAAAAAACAAATAAACAAATTAAAATCAAGAAAAAAAAAAAAAGACCGGCGTTGTTGGATCAAGCAAAACATCCGCTGGGCAAGTTGTCCAAAATCTGCCAAATTAGCTATTCAAGACACTCACAGAACTCCAGAAGCTGTTACGGTCCAAATTCATTACATGGTCGCTGGGCTTCATTTGGCTAATTTGTCGGGAATAGCTAATAGTTCATGAATTTGGCAGATTTCTTAGAAATATGTCTGGACCAGGTAATGCTAAATCAAGTAACAAGACTTATTTTCATCTATACATTCAGTTTCATGCTTGGATTTAGTGATGGTGCCATCATATGCTTCAGTACCAGTTGCATCAGCAAAATCCATCTTTGTGCCATCTCTAAACTTTCTATAAATGTCTCCTTTGTAAAATTCTCTTGTCCTAACTACCAGAATTAAAGAGACAAGGCAACTAAAAAGGGTTGCAGCTGCTACTATAATAAAAGATTTTCTGTAACACTTCCCCCCAAAGCATGTCAAGTCCTGGCCAGATTGTCTTGTGAGCCCCTTAGCTACCATTTGCTTCATTGCCTCTTTATCATAGAGATGACCAGCTACTTTCACATTGAGAACATAGGCTCCAATTGGGCTTCCCAAGGCACCAAATTGGAACAATGTGGAGTAGTATTTAAGGCCAAATATCTCTGATATTATTGCAAAAAGTAACGTCCATTGTGCTCCAACACAAAATCCAATGATCACTGAAGCTGTGTAGAGAGAATTTGGAACTGGAAAAGCAATCAGGATATGACCAACACAGGCAAGTGCAAGTACGAATGTAAGCATCAAAGATCGCGGAAATTTGTATTTTATCAGAAGGAATTCTGAGGAGAATCCGGCTGCTACTCGTCCCAGATAATTCCAGATGCTGACCAGTGATACAAAAGTGGTAATGCTATTGCTTGGATAGCCTAAAGATTTGCCAATTTGACCCAAGTTATCTATTGCTGTTAGTGCACCACCGATGCCACATGATGTCGAAATAAGAAGAATTAACAGGTCCAAACTAAAAACTGCTTGCAAAATGGTGTAGTCCTCCCCTAGTTCTGGTGGATGGAAGACATTTCTCATTGAAGCAATTGTCTTGTTCCATGAATATGTTGCTGCCGCCTCATCAGCCTCAGGGGCTTTCGCCACTGAATCCGCAGGTGTCTGCGGGGAAACTTGAGTTACTGCAGGTTCAACTTGGATATGATGTGAAATGTCACTACTTGGCAACAATAGTCTCGTGCTTTTCCAGGCACTAAATTCTTCTTTTGCAACAACAAGAAGTGGAGAAAAGACCAGAATAAGCACAGCAACGGCGCTTGCAATATATTCACTCCTACTAAACGTAAGCCTCTTTTGGATAATGATTATAACCATCAGAAAACTGGCAAGGCCTAGTGAAATATACAACATAGAGTAGAACAACCTGAGCTCATTCTTCTGCTTGATGACCTTCATGAGTCGAATTGCAGGAAGAAACACGACTGAAACAGCTGCCGGAAGCCATCCTACGAGTAGTATGATGGACTTGGTATCATCTCCATTCAGGGCATGGTACAATTGTGTCATGATAGCGCCGCTTAGGCCAACAAAACCTTTCAAAAGGCCTAAAACGATGCCTCGACTCTCAGGAAAGTTCTTAACGGTTGTGATCAAAGAGCCCGTATGAGCAAATGCCTGTGAATCAGCACCGATGAATATATACAAGCACAGCTGCCACACCTGAGGCTTCGGGGTACGGCCCGTGACAGCTAGCCAGATCATGAAGTAACCAAAGAAGTTCATAACAGCGCCAATGGCCAAAACGACCCATGGGGGACAAACTTCATTAATCAGCCCTGATATGATTCCGAGGTTGCCTCCCAAATCCTTGTAAAAACTGACCAAATTAAGGGTTGTTTGATCATAGCCTAATGTGGACTTGATGTCATTGGAGTAGACACCGAATAAATAAGCACCGCCATTGACGGACATGATCAGGAGTGAAGCGAACAGAGTGAACCATCTGCCGGTCAGCAAATGCAGCCCAAAACTCCTCATTTCTCTCCAATGACAGCCCATGTCCCCCTTGCATTATGAGTATGTTAACACATGCATATATACACACACAAACACAAGCACACACGTATATATGTATATGTACGTATGTCTGATATACGTATGCATATATATATATATATGTGTGTGTGTGTGTGTGTGAGAGAGGAATTATAAGTGATGTAAGCTTACAGCACTTTTTGACTGCAGTTTTTTTTTTTTAATTTTGTTCGTGTATTACAAAGATAAATTGTCTTTGAAAGTAAAGAAAATGTTTTTCAAATTATGATTATTGAATCCCACGGATTGAAATTATTACCACAGCCTCTCTATAGATACCATGGAAATGGTTATTTCATTTTCAAAATAAGCTATGGAAAATTTTAAGCATCAAGTAAATTTACCTTTCTCGAGATTTGGCAATATTACAAATCATTTCTTATGGTTTGACCTTACTACAATTATGCTCTCACCCTTTTCCACATTCTTTTCACCCTCAATTATTAAGTATAAGATTTGAATTAACCTGATAACGAGGAAGAATCTAAGAGCCCTCTTCTAACTATTGAACCGATTCTAGTGGTTTACAATTATACACCTTGAATAAACATTTATCGATTCGCCATTGAATGTTATGGACGTTAGAATTATTAAATTATTCACTATTAGATCATTCTATAACGTGGCAAGTTCGAACTTTTCACCAGTTCCGTCAGTCAGAGTTAATGGAGATCATTGATAAGGTATTTCTTATATGGTCAAACCGCAGGGTGTGATATGCAATACGGCCAAACCTTGAAGGAGTTAAATATAGTTAACCCAACTATTAAAAATTAGTATTTTTTTGTTATCATTTGTTGGCTAAAAATTTTGCTATCATTAGTATTTTTGTTGCCTTGTGGGGTATTTTGGTTTATCTTAGTTTTGTGTATCCTTGGCATGACATAAAGGTATCCATCACCCAGATTTTTATATGCTTTTTTCATGATTTTGACAATTCCATTTAGCTTCAAGTGCCTGGCTCTTTATGCCATTGCCGTATTACAATATTTCAAAAGATCCTAATACCGGAAAATTTCCAAGCATAGGGTGTCATATTTTGAGTTTTTGAACTTCTTAAATAACGATTTCACTAATAAATCTTTATTTAAACTCAAACATACGAATCTGAGATAGGAAAAGTTTGGTAATGTCAATACAACTGACTGTTACGAATGCATAGTCCACTAAAAGCAATATAAATTAAAAAAATTAATTTTTTTTTGTCTATAAAGAATGAAAATTATTTAGCGTAAATGAAAGGTTTGGCAGCCAATTGTCGGGAAAATACCGATTTTCATCCCCAAACTTTGGGCACAAGACACATTTCGTCCCTCATCTTTTGGGCATGACACATTTGGTGTCTGAATTAACAATTTTTGACCAAATGTCATCCTCGGACGGCAATTTAACCAACCTTTAACGGACCGTTAAGTAAATGTGGCTAACCGAAACAAAATTAGGTCGAAAATGACATTGTCTTCACTTCCTCTGCAAATTTCCAAGACTAAGCTCCTACTGCAAATTTCTCCGAGAGTAAACCCCCTCTTCCAATTATAAATATATAATTATAATTATATAATACATATAAATATTACTTATACTAATATTTTATATAATTATAATGTATATTAGATATTAAATTTAATCATTATATAACCTTATATTCATAATAATAATTACAATTATAATTATATAATTTATTGATATTATATACACATATATATTATAAGGGATAATTTCATAAACCTCCCCTAAATTAGCTTATGGAAAAATGGGAAAATGGATAATTTATGGAGAAAAGCCATAAAGAGTTTAGTTGGTGTTTTATTGGAGAACTGGTTTATTTTTATTTTATCCGATAAATAAATTTGTTTATGAAAAAATGGGTACTCTGTTCTTATAATAGAGGAAAGCCATAAAGAGTTGAAGTTTTATTGAAAAACGAGTTTATTTTTATTTTATTCGATAAATAAATTTATTTATGAAAAAATGGGTACTCTGTTCTTATAATGGAGGAAAGCCCTAAAGAGCTAGTCTTTTATGGGAAAGCGATACTTTAGAGAAAGTGACCGCGATTTGGTTTATGAAATTATCCAAAAAAACAATTTAGAATGAATTTGTTTATTTAATTAAATTATTATTATATATATTTATATAATGCATTATATAATTATACTAATATATTTTATGAGTATAAAGTATATTATATATTAATTATAATTTTTAGTATATATTAGTATATTTATCATAATAAATATAAATATAATTATATAACATATTATTACTATATACACATATATATTAAAATATATGCACATATAATATACATTTATAAATATATATAAATATATTATTAGGGTATATACCCTAATAACTATAATATATTTAGGGTAATAACTATAATAACTATAATAACTATACCCTAATAACTCTAATATATTTAGGGTAATAACTATAATATATTTATATATATATTTATAAATGTATATTATATCATATATATAATATATATGTGTATATAGTAATAATATATTATATAATTATAATTATATTTATTATTATAAATATACTAATATATACTAAAAATTATAGCTAATATATAATATACTTTATAATCATATAATATATTAGTATAATTAATATTTATATATATAATATAGTTATAATTATATATTTTATAATAATATAGTATAATTATATATATGCATTATATAAATATATATATAATAATTATTTAATTAAATAAACAAATTCATTCTATTTTTTTTTGGATAATTTCATAAACCAAATCGCGGTCACTTTCTATAAAGTATCACTTTTCCATAAAAGACTAGCTCTTTAGGGTTTTCCTCTATTATAAGAACAAAGTACCCATTTTTCCATAAATAAATTTATTTATCGAATAAAATAAAAATAAACTCGTTTTCCAATAAAACTTCAGCTCTTTATGGCTTTCCTCTATTATAAGAATAAAGTATCCATTTTTTCATAAACAAATTTATTTATCGGATAAAATAAAAATAAACCAATTCTCCAATAAAACACCAGCTCTTTATGGCTTTTCTCCATAAATTATCCATTTTCCCATTTTTCCATAAGCTAATTGAGGGGAGGTTTCTGAAATTATCCCTTATAATATATATGTGTATATAATATTAATAAATTAGATAATTATAATTATATTTATTATTATGAATATAAGTTTATATAATGATTAGATTTAATATCTAATATACATTATAATTATATAAAATATTAGTATAAGTAATATTTATATGTATTATATAATTATAATTATATATTTATAATTGGAAGAGGGGGTTTACTCTCAGAGAAATTTGCAGTAGGAGCTTAGTCTTGGAAATTTGCAGAGGAAGTTGTTGAAGTGAAAGAAAAAGGGAAAGTGAAGACAACGTCATTTTCACTCTGATTTTGCTTCAGATAGCCACATTTACTTAACGGTCCATTAAAGGTTGGCTAAATTGCCGTCTGAGGATGACATTTGGTCAAAAATTGTTAATTCAGACACCAAATGTGTCATGCCCGAAAGATGAGGGACGAAATGTGTCTTGTGCCCAAAGTTTGAGGATGAAAACCGGTATTTTCCCGCCAATTGTCAGTGAAAAGATGAGTTAGGGTGGTTTCCTTAAAAAAAAAAAAAGAAAACAAATTACAAAGTAGAAGAGGGTGGTTTGCCAAGAGGGAAACCAATTTGGGCAGCCACCTACTAAATAAATTTGACAAACAATGTGCTGAGTAACTATTGTGTTTCATATTTAGGACCATTTGGAGATGCATAACTTATTGAAAAATACTTCATCAATAGGGTTTTCAATAAAAAGCACTTATCCAGTGTTTAAATACTTTTAAGTATATTGTTTGGATACATAGTTCAATAAGTACTTATTACATTGGGTAATGTATAATTTAAAATTTTTTTAAATGTATTTATCTCTTTATTTAGTTCGTAATATAGGATAAAATGATTAAATTTAATATTTTATTTTTTTAAATACAAAAGCTATTCTAAAAGCATCGAATTTGAGATTTTGCTAAAAGTACTTTTAATACCAAAAGTTTTACTTCTAATTTTATAGAATGGTGCTCACCAACCATCTCAAAAATACTTTTAACACTCAAAAGTGCTTTTTTACTAAAAGCACCGTAATCCCAAATGGGGCCTAAAAGAAATTAATTCTCTGAAGAAAATGCTTTTGAAAATTTTGAAACATGTTTTGAAATTGCTTTTTTCTTTTGATCTCACAACTATGTCAATTGATAAAAAGTACTCCGTTATTTTTTTTTCTGAAAACACCCCCAAAATAACCATGATATCCTTTGGTTGGTTAATGTATTTGCAACAATGCAAAGTTCAGGCAAAGTATGTGCTGTAGTAATTCAATGTGACACTCACCTTTCTATTACAAATTAAAAATTGTCTTATGAAACTATTGTTCTTACTAAATTTATCCTGTAATTTCCGTAAGTTAAAAAAACAACCAATATAGACTTAAACATGAAAAGAAGTCCATTAAAATTTTATATTCGAATGGGAATGGAAGAGGAGAAAAGACAAATTCACACATAAAAACAAAAAAAAAAAAAAAAGAAACAAAAAGAGCAATTATGTGACAAACTTTTCAATGAGGGCATGATTGTCTTGCCGCTAGCTAAATACATTTGACTGTTAATCATAGAGTTTATTCACTACTAACCTCTAATTACAAGGTGCAATACATATGAATTTAAGCCTTTAAAGAAGTATACCAGAAAAGTTGACAAAACATTTTTAGAAATTGAATTGAACCCATAAAACACTGCAAATGACTTGAGAGTTTAACTGGGGTATAAAAAATTTAGAATCCAATCGTTTCTGTTTATAAAGAGCATCTAAAGTCCACAGACAGCACTAGGAAGGTCACATCATGCTCCCATTATACTAATATTGTGTTTCTGTCCTAGTTGATGAAAACCGCCTTTGC